GGAACTAATTGAGTCTATAGTTGTTTCCTGGCATCATGTAATAACGAAAGAAGAGCTTAAAACTCTTGTTAGCTCAATGAAATGTCGATGTGAAGCTGTAATCAAAAATAAAGGGTACCCTACTAAGTACTGATAACTCACTGCAATAATCACTATCTAATGTATATCGATAACTATTATCGCTTAACGTTTTTTGTATTGAAAATAATTGAATTTTGTGTTTTGTATTGAATTCAGTAATAAATTGTCTTTAAAATGATATATACCAGTTTGCATTTTGTGAAACGTAATGTTTTCTATAAGCATACAAAGTTCAAAAACATAAAAATTTCCAAAAGTGTCCACAATTTTGGCCACCACTGTATATATATGAGAGAGTCGGAGTCGGTCGTTTTTCCTACTCGTTCCGCAGCCCTGATAATATCACTGATCACAACAAAAATTGTATTCATGTAAGCATAGGAATGTAATGTTGACATTAATTGTAATGATGCTTACATAATATCCTGTTGACCGTGAAAGTTGGCTGTCATCAAACCATAAAAGTCAGTGGCGATCAGGTCGAAGTTACGTGAATCGTTCATGCAAATTCTAAAGGAACTAATATCTCATTACTTAAGAAAGCCTCATACATCACTGTTTATTTACTTATATAAATGACAAATACAAATTCAACAAGTAAAAATAAAAAGTGTTTGACATTTTAATGATTTTTTTCAAAATGCAAGAATAACGTACACCAATAATAGTTAATTTATATTCTTGTTTGTAAAAACAAAAGTGGCTTATAAAGAATCAATCAGTGTTAAATTAAACAAAAGCATATATTAATTTGGGCGTAATATTTTCAAAATTTTTACAGGACTAGTTTGAATGGTTTTACCGAACTATCATCTTCAGCTGTAAAATCGCGAAAACATAAAAATTTCCAAAACTGTCCACAATTTTGGCCACCACTGTCTATACATTTTGCGGTTTTGCAGCTGAGGATGGTGGTTCGGTAAAACCATCGAAACTAGTCCTGTAAAAATTTTGAAAATATTACGCTGATTTTTGTTGTTTGACTTCTGAATTAGTATTTATTTGGCGTGTTATTGTGTCTTAATTAAAAGCATATATATTATGAGCATTTTGCAACATCATGCTTATCCACGACTGGCAATAAATTGCTATGTTTGGTGACAGTTTCATGGTTGACTCCATAATATGTCAATACCATAATAGTATTAACAGCAGATAATTATTATAATTTAAAATACTAAAGTACTGTGTCATAAAATCCTTGATGTGCAGTTGAATATATTTTTGGTTAAAAAATATTCTGCGTTTGCATGTTTAGTAATTTGAAATCAGCCATACATAGGAAATTCTATTGTGTCTCTTCAATGGAGGGTGGGGAAAAAAAATACTGCATATGCATGTTTAGTAATTTGAAATCATCTGTTTGCAGGAAATTCTGCTGTGTCTTTTAAATGGAGAATGTTATTATATGATACTAATTTTAACTAACTTTTTAAATGTAAATAAAATGGATTCTTATGTGGATGAACGAACAACCTTTAATAGTGAAAATAGTACCAGAAATTAGTTATTTTTTAGCATATTTATGGCTGATTCTAATCAAGCAATCTTTTGCAGAAGCTATATAATTACTAGATGGTAAATTTCCATCTTAAAAACTCAAGGTACTTTTCTATTATATGGGCATCATGAAAAAACAAAATATTTTTATTATAACAATATTAGTACATTATAAATGAAATATAATTTAAATGGGGCCATGAACATAATTTAAATGGGGCAACATTTTTGAAAATAACTTTGGAATTTTGAAATTTCATTTTTTTATGTAATCATCACCACATAAACTGTAATAAATATGATTCAAGGCTATGACATGAGGTGCCACATTGGTGTTTATTACACAATTTTGCACTGTCCCACATTCTTTTAACTGTTTGCATATGACATCCAGTGTTTAAAACAATGAAATTGTATCTGTGGGTAATTGCGAGATGATCATGTCCTGCTTCTTTCGAACCCTGTTTTGTATGCTTTCCAGAAATCAAAAAAAAAAAAAAAAATTACTACTGTCTATGACATTTTTTTGAATCATCCCAGATTAAGTTTTTGCGGAGTGATCTGAAATGGCTACAAAAAACATTCCTTTGTTCTCTACATATTCCTCAAAAACCACTGTGGAGGAAAATCACGTTCAATGTTACTCTTTCTTCTTGTTAAAAGACTTTGGTCAACTTCTACTGTTCTGTTATTTGCACCAAGTTTAACTTTAAGTCTACATAACAAGGCATGAGTATGAATCTCCTGCATATAATTGTTCCAGTTGATCACTGTATTGTGATTCATTTTTAATTGCATAGTACAAAACTGAATTGAGGTCAGTTCATGGCATCAACAGTAGATAAATTCTACAGCAATAAGTATGAACCTTCAAACCAAGCGCGAGATCTGGCACCTATTTTTTCTCAGCAAGACCTAAAGTTACAGCACCATTTTAGTCTATCATAATAGGTAAAACACAACATCATTTCATAATTACTTTTACCAAATTTATCTGTGAAGAATTCGTTTATCCTGTAGTAATTTCAGAGTGTGGTCCCAGATTGTGAAATCCATTCTTAATTTTCCCTGTATAAAGTGCTTTTAGTCATTTGTCGTCTATCATATTATGTTTTGTGCTGCTTTAATAAAGTGCCGCGGATCATAACATGTGATTATTTGGCTCAGTTTCACTTATAAAACCAAAATAGCTTAGCTGATCACGTTATTGCTATCTTCAGCATGTTACTACACACTTACAGTTTCCCCCCCTTAGCACCCATATAAAGAAAAAGTACCAAAATAAAGGATAATTTTAACTTTTTCCTCTTTTGTGCTGATAGGTAAGGCTTTAGCTATAATAGAGTAAAAGCTGGTTAGAAGAATAATCTACTTCTTATGTTGGCTTCTGCTTTTGTTTTAGCCATCATAGTTTACTGAAATGTTTACCGAATGCTTTGGGTATTACTGGGGGAAAAAAAAAGTTTCTCTTCTGTTATCAGGACCAGATTCAGAACTCTATGTAAGTATGCATGTATGTACACACACACACATATATGTGTATGCACATATTTACATGCATACATAAACACATCCATAAATACATTTCTGAATTCGGTCTCAGAAGAGTACTAAAAAAAGTTTAAACTCCCAAATGGCTTTACATGATCTTGTAGTTTGTTTCGGTGCAAGTACATTGCAGCTAGCATTGTCTCGTATGTGATGGTGAACTCTAGAATTATTTCTAAGTTATCAATATGTTGAAAGATGCATATTAATATTCTTATTTGCTCAAATGAAGAAAATTATATTTTTCCTTGTGTCATTTTTAGGTACAGTCAAAAGTCTTTAATCCGGGCGTCCATAATCTGGACCTCAAAGCTACAAACTTTCTGCGCATGCGTAAACGCATAATGCGTCTATGCATGTGCATAATATCTTTACGCATGTGCATTTAATGTATAACGGACGGTATGAGCTAAGCTAAAATTATCTAATTATCTATTTCAGTTAATGTTGCAGATTGCGTTCCTTAATCTTCTAATTGGATCCGGCTTATTGTTTTTTGCAGACTGTTAGAGCAATTTTATAAAAGTAAGCTTGAACTTTCGATTATGCCAAAAAGGATTTCCGATTCTGGAGCTGCCAAAGGATCTACAAAGCAAAAGCATGTTTCGATGTCCATCAAACAAAAAGTGGAATTGCTGCAAAATATGGATAAATGGCATATCCTTTGTTTCTTTAACCATTCCGAAATCTGTTTGTCAATTTCACGCTGCTCTGCAGAGGGTGGGGACGTTGTGGCACGCAATGAACTGGAAGTTGATCTGTCAGCTCTATCCTTATCTTCAGGGCAGATGTTTTTATTTTATCGGCTTATAATTCCTTACTAAATGTAGTATTTCATATCGAAGTACTCCGTCTTTGATATGATTTAAATCAAATTCCTCGTCATTATAAATATCACTAATACACATCAAATAGTTTTCTGGTTGCAATTTTCTAATTTCAACTATGTGTAATATATGCTTTACGCATGCGCACGTTGAAAGAAATGTTTAATAAAGGAAACAAATAAATATTAAGCTTTTTTTTTTTTTTTTTTTGTAAATTTTGATACCCTTTAGATCATAATTGCTCTTTATTTCTTAAATTACAGTTTCATATTTTTAATTTTATAATTTCTGCATGCCATATTACCAGATTTAAACTGATGATCTATAATCCAGAAAAACCGATAATCCGGAATCGCCAAAGTCCCGACGAGTCTGGTTTAAAGACTTTTGACTGTATAGAGGTAGAAACAAAATGTCACCAAGTTTGGCGACTTTTGGTTATTTGTCTCTGAATTTGGTAACAAAAAGTAGTTGCCAAAACCATCGCCAGCATGGCATTTTTTTCAATATTAAATGGACTTGGTTCTATAACATTATTTTTTCAGCAGATCTTTGCTTTTTTGAAGTATTTCATGTTACATTGTACAAGAGCTACTACTATTTCACATATAAGTTCACTAAAATTATTTACATATATGCAAAATTAATAACAGTATGAAATTTTCAGTTGTAATCTCATTCGATAAATATATATTATAACAGGAATAGATCAAGTATGGGAATTCTTACAAAACACTGGAGAGTTAGTTTTTCTTGCGAGTAATTATTGATATTTATTATCATTTTAGATTGGAATAATTAGGTCATATTTTATAGTCATAAAAAAGCTTGACGGAGTTTTATATGTAAGTTTGCTTTTGTTTAACTCTGTAAATATACGTTCAATACTGCGTATGGGAAAATGTCAATTTTTTATTTTTATATTTAATGAAGTATTCGTAACTTTAGGTTTCTATCAAAACATAACAGATTTTAGCATTTTAATTTTTTTTTATAATCAAAAATACTCATCACTGAAAAAAAAAAAAATTTGTCTAATTGCAGCTGAATTTATAATTGACCTGGCCAACAAAAATGATACATTTGATGCTTTCAAGAAAGTGCTTACTGAAAATGGAGCAGAATTCTCAGTAAGATTATACTTCTATTAATAATCTGTTTATAGTAAAAATTTGAGTTTTATGTTTTGTAGTTTAATGTTGTTTAAAGGTGAGTATTTTAGTTTTTTTTTTTTTTTTTTTTTTTTTTTATTTTAAATTATGCATAGATGTTTTTACATACTTAGAAAGATTATTTTATATTACCTATTTATTTATTAGAGGTATCCCAAGTGAGGTTTGCAACCATCACTGTATTGGGAGGCAGTTTGTCATAAAAAGTTTTGAAGTACTCGGTTTGTTACTGTATAATTATATCTGAATACTTCTGAGGTTTCCTCCTCCCCATAATAAGTACAAATAAAGCAGTAGGAAAAAAATAAAAATTTCATTAAATCACACAAGCATCATTTTGTTCTATGCCATTTTGCCATTTTTAACCCTCCCAAGGTTTTGAAAGAGATAAGGTATTGTTTTGTAAAGCGTCAGCAGCTTTGTCAAAGAAGTGCTTCAAAAGCGAGGAAGTTTTCTGTCACTGTTTCCACCAAAAGCGTTAAGCAGTTTTTCTTTACCCCCCTACACCTTGTGAGAATCATCCAGATCAAGTGATTAGTATAGGCTCTGAAAGTATCAATCACTGTTAGAACTTTGCTCTTCGGGAGTTTTCAAGAAGTAGAATGCTTAGAAAGCGATCTGACCTTGTAACAGCAACTGTTCGCTTTACGCTATGAATTTTGTTATCAAATGAAAATTTTGAGGGAAATTGAAAATCAAGACTTCAAGACAAAAAAAAAAAAAAAAAAAAAAGTAAATGTTTATTTTTTTTCCCTTCATAAACTTTCATTTTTATGTTTGTATCTATGTATATATTTAAATTTTATGGAAATCAATATGCATACGGCAATAATATCAAAATAATTTTTTGTTTCTAATAATACCCTTCACTTTAGTTATTGAATTTACCTCTTATATACGATTGCTTGTTAGGATAAAAGGAATATTTTCTCACTAAAACAATATGATTTTCGATAGTTCCCAAGATAGTTTACTTTTTTTAATGTAAAAAGTAAAATATCTTGTTAACTTAGAAAATTTCTTATTTTATTTGCAACTTCGGGTATTTTTGATCCAGAGTTTATTTGAAGCTATGGATATAAATAATATTTCACAATTTACTTGATATAATGGCAGAACTAATTAACTAAACATGGAGTAAAATACTTGTTCATTTGCTAATCATAATTACAAACATCTAAGTTTTTGTCATGCAATTTTCCGCTTTTGTGTATAGCCATGAGTAAGGAAAGCCGAGAGTTTATTAATTGTGTCATAATGATATTGTTTTCTTTAAAATTTAAGAAAATATCACTATATTTTACTATTCCACTACTTATTTTTTTGGGGGGGGGGTAGGGCTAAGAGCAAATAAACAGGTGCTCTTAGAAATTCCTGCATTGAAAAGTTAAAATTAATGAAAAAAGACATCGGATTTTGACATATTGATTCTTATGGTTTTATTAATCTCTATAGCTTTAATTCTTTCTCTTTCTGTATAACTATATATATATAGAAAGAATTAAACAGAGATTTAATTTAAAAACATTAATTTCTAGTCTAATGCTCATGATGCTTTATTATTTTTAAAATTTTATTTAATTTGACTATGGCAAAGCACTCGAAGGTTACCTGCCTAAGGGTAGAGATGCCTTCATGGAGGAATTTCTGAGTGAAACTGTCTCATATACACGTTGCACGTGGGGAAAACAAAGAAAGCACCTACGCAGTGAGCTCGTTCGCCGAAACTCGAATTATCTGTGTTCCGAGACTTTATTGCTCGTTTGTTGATGGGCCAACGCTCTTGATACGTTTTATTGAATATAAGTTTTGTATGTGCAGTTGGAAAATTGAAAATATTTTTTTCAAAATATTATAGTTAAATAGAAGCAATGCATAGTTTTACTAAATATTTTCTACCAGTATTACTTTCAGTGTAGTTACCTAATGCAGAAACATAAAGTTTTATAAATATTTGTATTTATAATTTGGTTTTTGATATAATGAATTAAGATTTCCCAAAATTCTATACATTCTTAAATTTCATTTTTCCCTATAATAATATGCAGTTATTTTTAAAGGGTGTAAATGGTTAAAGTTTTGAAATATGAAAAGAAAAAATACAAATGATAACATATTTTAAAATAAAATTGTGCAGAACTGATCATGATTAGATTAATCTTCTTTCAGTTAGGTTTTTCTCAAGAATATTTATGTGTTCAAGAATATACATGCTGAAAGTGCGAATATTAGAAATTATATAAAACATGCACTGAAGTAATAAGCTTTGCAACAGAAATTCAACTAATTTCAATGAATACCTGAGATAATATGATCACAATCTATCTGAATATTTAAGAAAGTCTTGGCAACAGGTTTGCTGCCTATATGCTCATATTTTTTTATTATTACATACATGTGTGACTGCTATTTTTTTATACAGAGAATGTTTTCCCCATCTACGGTTTGCAGCAAAAAAATTTAAGATTTTGATTTCCGTAACACAAAATACAAAACAGACATTCTAAGGCAAAACTGAAGAATATAACCCTTTTTATTCACCAAAATGCACAATACATTTCTACTACAACTAAAAGAAGCAAAATTAAGTTTTGTTCACATGGCTGGCTGGCTCAGTTAGAAATAAATATATAATCTTTTTTTCTTCTTTCCTCTAAGAAACTAAAATTCAACAAGATACTTTTTTTTCTTTTTACAAAACAAACTGTGCAATTTATTAATTTTCAATAAAAAAATAGTTTATATTATTTGGATATTGCAGAACATAGGAGAGCTACTTATTACAAACATACCAGGGCTGCCAACGTGAAGGGCTTTCTAGGGGAAATTGACTTTGCACAAAACTTCTATGATGCAGTCAATCCATTCACCTATGTTTGAACCTAAATCAAACTATTAGCAAGTGTTTTATCATTCAGCTATTAGCAAGATTCAACTAGATGAAACCAATTCAAAAATTTTATTCGCATACAGTACTAAACTCGATAACCGTAATAAGAGAATTCTAGTCTTACTATATTTCTTGTGCTCTGTAGTTAGCTAATTTTAATATTAGCAGGTAATGTTGATATTGGAAAAATTTAAATGTAAACTGCACTTTCGAATTTTTTTTTCGCATCGTTCTAAATTTTACAGTGTGAGCCAAGTTATACGAACAGATAATAGTGGCATACTGACTCTCCTGGATAATGGAAAAGAAAGTCTTTTTCATCAAAGGTGCCATATATAATACGTAGAATGACAATGCACATTGCCTTTGAATTATTATCGTTTCTTCTCTAATTTTCAATGCATGCATATCCTATTCTTTCTTCTACTCGTTTTTACATTACATTACCGCTTCTTTTCAACATGCACACTATTTGAAAATACTTGATCTGTTTTTAGAAATAGAGGCTAAAACTTTTCTCAGTATCGTAAGAGAAAGACGTTCAACCAAATGTAAGAACGCATTTCTGCGACTACAATTTTGTAGGAAAATCTTCTGCAAAATGCTTCAATTTTATAATAAATATGTGCATAATATAACAAATTCGTTTTTCAAACTTGTAGTTTTTTTTTAACCCCCGAAAGGGGGTGCTAGGACAGATGGGCTACTAGTCTCAAAACAGCATTTTATAGCATTTCACTATAAATGGTGAATCAACTTTTAAGTTTTTGCCACCAAATATTATCGTCCTGTATTATATTTAAAGAAATTAAATAATTAAGAGTCTTCATGAATATATGTCTTGCATTATTAAAAATGCAGTACCTAGAGCCATCAAATTAAAAATAATGTAATCCTTCACTCGAATATGCACACTGGAAACTGGAATTTTTAAGTTCGAATTTGTTTTATTATCTCTTTCATATTTTGTAAAACTTTGACGAATTTTTGATTAGGAAACTCAACAGTTTCAAAGCGAGCATTGGTGACACTGTAATGAATAAAATATTTTTATCTCCAGTGTGCAAGGCTGTTTATCGGAAATTCTAAAGATATGCTGTTTTTAAATATTTTATAATATTGCTGTTGAATTGGAATTTACGTTCTTTAATTGTGAAGAACATGGTATTTAATAAATAAAGGTAACACACAGTGTCAAAAAAAGTCCCTTTGGGCATAATATAAAATCTGAAAGCTTCTGAATTTTATTTTAATGTTTTTAATTTTGTAATTCCTTTTTAAAGTCCAAATGAGTGTTAGTACAGAAGGGCTATTAATCTCGAAACGGCATTTTGCGTCAAATCGCTTTAATTGCCCGAATCACTTTTCAAAATGCTGCCACCAAATATTATCGCCCTGTATTTATTTAAAGAAACTAAATAATGAGAATTTACATGAACGTATGTTTGTTTTTTGCATTGCGGAAAAACGTTACTTAGAGTCATCGCATTTTGGATCACATAGTCCTCCACCCGAACGAGGACACTTGGAAGCCCGAATTTAGGATCTGGAATATGTTTTTATTGTCTTTCATATTCTGTAAAACTTTAACGGATTTTTGATTAAAAAACTCAACAGTTTCAAAGCAAGCAATGGCAACACTATAAGGAATAAAACATTTTTCTCTACAGCCTGCGAGCCTGTGTATCGGAAATTCTAACGATATGCTGTTTCTAAGTATTTTTAGCCCAAAGTGGTGTTAACCCAAATGCTCACGAAACATATATGTGTCTGTAAACGAAACAAATTGCCCGTTTGGTCCTATTATAAAATCTGTTTTCATTTTGTATTTATTTTTTGGGTACTGAACCCAGGTTTACATAACTTTTCAACCAAATATTTTGCGCTAGCATTATTTTCTTATTTTTTATAAAATGTTTTAAAAAAGTATTTAAAAAAATGTAACTTATATCAAGTTAAAGAAAGTGCTTAACTGTTATAAGAATAACTGAAGCAAGGAGGATAAAAAGTTTCACAGGTCGTATTTTTAAACTAATCTAATTAGCTTATTATAAGATAAATACTGTTA